GACCCCAAATGAATTTCATGCTCTAATTGAACTTTTCCATACTCTAACTGAAAACTTAACCGTAACTGAACACAAGACTCGATCCTGGGTGATATCAATATTTACCTTCCCTTCAATAACCCTATTCAAACCGCCAGAAGCACGCTTCGTCTTCTCGCCGCAAGTATGTCGCAGGCCACGCCCACCAGCTGCACCGGACGATTCTGTTGCTACACACCCGTGTGGATTGGAGCGCAATTAGGGCGGCGTTCCCACCGATTTATGCCATCCTGAGCTTGCAGCAATTGGTGGAAAAGGCTGCACTGGTTGCGCTACAGTCCACGCCCCTCCACACACCCTGTCTTCGCAGGGATAATGACTTCATGAGTGACTGATAGTCAATGCATCATATTTAGGCGCAACGACGGCACAACTATCATGTAAACAACGGCCACTGTGTGTTCTTTTCATGGATGATGAACGCACTAAGCAAAGTGTGGTGCTCATTGGCTCGCTATCTGGTATACATATAGTTGACGCCCAAAATGGTGCTATCTTCCGACGCCTAACCAGCAAAGGTGTGCGGCGAATCTTTAAACGTTTCTGAATGATACTGAGATAGAGAGCGTTTCTGCTATGTTGACTTCGGCGCAATTCGGCTGGATGGCACCAGTTGTTACCCAACGATGCTGGTGCAGCCCCCACCCCCTCTGAAGGGTTCACAAGGGTTTGGGGTCCCAAATGAGAGGTCTACCAGTTGACATGAACTAGAAAACGGAAGTAGAGAGAGTGACTAATGCCCGCTCCCCCTACACTCACCTAGGCAGAACAGCGCCTGGATTCTATAGTGTCCTTCACTAGTAATGATCAACGCCGTTATAGAGGGGACAGTAAAAACTGGCACTCCGCCCATTGATTGTACCACTAAAACATTTCCTCGCGGATCACTTTCGCACCTAGCGACGGAAAAGGGTTCTTTTCAGCCGGCACTTCTCAATCGTGCATTTTTCGAATCCGTCCTTCCTCGATTCTCAGGGTGCTTGCCTTCAATTGTATTTGCAAGGTCAAGCAATTAAAAGAACATCGGGGGCTATAGCGACGTTTCCGAAAGCTAGAGAGCTGTTATCTTCGCCACTATATCGCAAAAGTATCTAGGAACCAGCGCGCAAGTGACTCAACCAAGGAGCTTGTCCAGTTGCCTCCAGCTGAGGCTAGCACGATAGGTCATCTTACAGATATAAAGCACGATAATTTAGTCACTCTTCCTCCTCCCCCCCCTCCCGAAAAAAAACATTGTTCTCCACGGCGACGAGCATTTCTGGACGAGTTGCCCGCCAACAGCCGCATGGATAGGTACGGCTGCACGTATGTGTTCATGTATCCACGTAGCACACTTCTATCAATTGTACTTCATGAGTAGAGTAGTATTAGGAAGAGTACAGCGTCGATGACTGTAGGACATTTGTGGGCGGGCGATTGCGATGAGCACATGGACCGGCACGTTGCACTTTGGTTAGGCGCTATAACGGTGCTCTTGGTTGGAAAATGGCTGCGTTCATACTTTGCGGCAGCGTCCACCAGCGTCCACTAGTGTTCGAGCGTCCGGCAGCGTCAGCGACTGGGAAAGTATAGATATCGATCTAGCGTCTACCGGCCTGCACCAGCGTCTCCCAGCGTTTGCTAGCATCTACCAGCGTCCACCATCCTCTCGAGGGCCTGGGTAGTATATATGATCGATCTAGCGTCTGGCACGTTTTCCAGCGTGCACCAGCGTCCGAGAGAGGAGGGTATGGGAGGGTAGCAGACAGGACGGGTAGACGCTGGTGCATGCTGGCACGCGCTGGTGGAGGCTACCACATCTATACTTTCCCAGTCTCTGACTCTGCCTGACGCTCGAAACGCTAGTGGACGCTGCAGCAAAGTATGAACGCAGCCTTATAGAGGAACATCCTGGGATGTCGTGCCATGGATTTTCCACAACTTGGCGCCCTGTGCGGATTGTAAACTTGACTTTGATGGTGCACTCCACGGACGCAAACCTTTTCTAATTGTCCCCCTCCTTCCGTAGGTTGCAATGGTTTGGTACGCTCTTACTTGATTTTTTTTCTCATTTATATTCCAACTCCTCCACCTTGTAGATTCTTCGAATCACTTTTGAATCTCAGTTTGTTCAGACCTTCTCAATATGGAACAAATTCAGGTGGCGCTACATCACTCCATTCTTGGCATGGCTGTATGGTAGCTAGCGGTGATGCACGCGGAGGTGTAGCACTTTGGGATGCACGAGTAAATGAGCCAGTAGCTCACTTTGCTGCCACTCCTCCAAGTTCGGGTGGGTTTTGCCAAGTCTTTTAACAACCTCTGTTACATAGGTCGAAAAAAAACCTGAAAATACCATCGAAATCGGGTGCCGCGGGAGAATACGGCAGGGGGGGGGAAGGACATTCAACACTTTTGCTACTTCCCATTGACGTGTAGTGCCATGTAGGGATTTACTTTATGAGCTCACAAGAGTTGATAGATTTTACCATGATGGCTTGGCGACCTTACTACAACTTCACAAGTGTTCACAAGTTTCACCAGAGTGAATCAGTGAACTTGTAAGCCAGGAGTAAAAGCAGCAAAGAGACAAAGTCTCCCTCCTCAGTCGTCGGACTGCGCCCAAAATCGTCTTTGAAATTGGCGGATTTTGCTACTTCTATGCACATACAACACCTCCCCCCCCTCGTAGCGCCCGTGAGACAAGAAAGACCAACTATCGAAAAAATTCTTGCACTCGCCGCAACTACATATGAAGCATCGCTCCACGTCCGCGGATCTGCTCATTGTATGCTCAGAAGAGGTTCCACCTAAGAGGCGACTACGGAATGTGCCTCTCATTCCACCTTACCTGATGCGTTTAGGAGAAAAACCTATGTTACTCAGTTTCACTGGAGTGTCATCACAAGTTAATTTCAGGTGTGCATCGATCCGTTTTCTCTGTGGACAGTTCTGCCAGAGTGCTAGCACTGGGTGGTGATTCTGGCTACGTGCACCTTTTCGATATAGAGGCCAGAAAAGAAGTCATCAAGAAAAAAATTTGTCAATCTGACGTGAAAGCACTTCGATTTTCTCCTCGGATGAGGCTCCTCCTCGCAGCAGATGCTCAAAGGTAATTTTCATGTGAATCATCTCGCGGGCGCGGTTCGGTTTGGTTAGACTTTCTGCTGGTTCCCAATAATCACTGCCGATGCTTACTGTGGAAGCCTGTAAACTCTTGTAATGTAGGGCAATAGCACTCCCTTCGCTTACACTTGAAAAAGTCTTATTTACATGCAGGGTAACAGAAAGTAAGGAAGGAAACAAGCAAAATGGAGGGACGCCCCCTCTACCCTCCCCCCCCCCCTTCCAGGGAAGCACGAGAAGGGCGCTGTTGGGTTCAGAACCTTAAATCCCAAAACCCCACAGCGGCACAACGCTTATTCGTGTCTGTTCCAGAGCTTTTCTACACGTAATGGACTTTCGCAGAGTGAAGCGAAATACCACGGCTCTCATACCGTTCTAGATCACAATTAATCTTGAACAGCATTTTCAAGAGCTTTATCGTTGTTTCAGTTTGCATCTAGTAAACCTCAGCGACATTTCGTTATCTCCATTACCTCAGCCATCTCATCACATCTCATCGCTTCAATCAGCAACGGGCATGTTGTGAGTTCTTACAGTTGCTCTACATTTGTGCTGAAAGGGAATAATGTTTGATAAAGAGCAATGGAAAGTGTACAGCTGTTTCCATCCCTGGAGAGTCCTAGCGACCTGTAGTTGAACGCCATTATCCACAACATATTAGGTGATCCCATTCAAAAGTGCCGAGACATATAGAGGAATGGCAGAAAAGCAAAGGGGATAGAGCAGCGGGCTACTATACCATTTGGAGGCTAGTACCTTTAGCTATGTATCTGTGAAATTTGGCGAACCTACCCACAGAAGAAGTTCTCGAGAAATTGAAAAGAAGCCCGAGTGGTGAAAATCAGCGCCGGATTTTCAAATCAGACGTCATAAGAGGAAAGTGCGCTGCTCAAATTTGACCTGCGCCGGACCAGTAGTTGTGTGTAATGGTGTTCTCGAAATACAAGGTGGAAGGTTTGGTTCAGGAGCCCGAAGAAGGAAGAAAGGAAAAAATTTGTTGTCGTGGATGGTCCCATAATGTTCATCCTGCACAAGAAAAAAGGGTGGATGAAGTCAAGCGCTGAATGTCTGATCCCAGAGCCTGGACCTTTGTCGAGCTTCCCCGCGAGTCTGACATCCCAGCTGCAACTGCTGCCCGAGTTATGTCCGATAAACTGGATGGTCAAGGGTGTGGCGCATGGGTACCTAATTTTCTTTTAGAAGCACGAACGCAGTACCAATTCTATACCTCTAGCAGTAATGTTCAGCATGAGATGTCACTCACAACTGTGAAAACGCCACCCAGACGGCTTAGATGAAATATGGGTGGTCTCGGACCTCGAGCCGAAACTCACAATCGTCAATTTTGTATGAATGCAGATGAGAAGCCGCCCGAGTTCTACCATGAAGAGTTACGTGGGCGCAAGTGGATGATCATCATAGCGAACGATTGCCACACTGTGCTTTCAAACGGCTCTATACTGAGAACATAATCGCCACTGTCGACGTATATTGCCTGTTCCTCGGCAATCAGATCGACAAATGGATGATACCACAACAACTACAAAAGCCACCCGATTGCTTCGTCATACATAACCAGACCCGAGCTAACTGCTGGTAGATCAGATGCCGAGACAACAAACAATACTGAGACTGGGTTTAGATCGCGCCCATTCGCCCACAGTTTCAAAAAAGCCGTTCGATTTAAACTGTTCTAGTCAGTCGAGGGTACTCTCCAACGGCAAACGATGCAATGTTTTGTCATTCGCCGAAATTAGCATCAACAGCAATTACTCGCCACTTGTCGCAGAAGCCAGCCAATTGAAACAATGCCCCACCTCATGCCAACCATTAGAAAGAAATGAAGTTGGCGTGCGTGTCAGTTGGCAGCGTGGCGGAGCCGTCGGCTCTTTGCGGCGAAAGCGCTTTTTCCGTCCATATTTTGGGTTTGCGAAACATGCACGTCCACCAATCCTCATAGGGGGAGCTACTAGATCCAGAGAGGGCGTGAGAACAACAAATGAAGGGCACTGCCTTTGAAACCAGTGCGTTGGTGCGCTAGAAGAGTCTGTGAACCTAGTAGTAGCTCATGACACTGACCATTTTTAGAGTTTCTACGCAAAACTGATATACATTTGAATTTCCCCACGATCTTTGATGGAAGTTCTGACTCACCACAAACGTTTTGAGCAATCCTCCGCAAAAGTCCTTCCTCCTTTCGAAACTCAGGAACTAAGAAATTTGCAATCCTAACAAGCAATCCCATCGTGGAGTTTAGCATTCACGTTTGTCTTATCAAAGCGTCTGAGCAGGGTTTATACTTTGCGGCAGCATCCACCAGCCAGTACTAGCGTTTTATGCGTCTGGCAGCGACTAGGAAGGAATAAATTCGGTCTACGTCTGCCAGCGCTCGACAGCTAGGGAAATACAGATATCGAACTAGCGTCTGCCAGCGTCTACCATCGTCCACCAGCGGAGTGGGAGTATGAGGAACTAGGAGGGTAGCAGGCAACTGGATTAAGCGCCCTGAAGTTGTGGCGTGTGCAACCGCACAACTGCTAACGCACATAATTATGCAATTCAGACGCTTAATCCAGCTGCTTGCCACCCTACTGCTTCCCGTACTCTCTATTTCCGGACGCTGGTGAACGCCGTTGGACGCTTGTAAACGCTAGCAGACGATGGATTGATACCTATACTTCCCTAGAGCTGGTGGCAGACGTTGGTGAACGCTGCAGACGCTAGAACATATCTACACCTTCCTACTCGCTCCTTCCTGCTCGCTAGTATCGCCGATGGATGCTGGTAGACGCTTAATCGATATCCATACTTTCCTGGTCCCTCGAATGGCTGATGGACGTTACCGCAAAGTATGAACGCCGCCTTAATTGTGTACTGGTTTATTTTTCAGATGGGATCCACAATCATGCCGCTTCGTTGTTCGCGCGACGGATCGTCAACTACGGCTTTATCAACTCGATGAGCTTGACAAGGAGGAAGCGGATGCCACACCTCAAACTCGGCTATCCTCTTCTTGACATCAACGAGTATCACTATATGTAATCGTAATTATAACCTCAATTGTTGTTTTCTTCGATTCGCCAACGATTTCGGAGTGTTGCATAATGCTTGTACTTGCCGTTATTTCACGATTTTTGTCGCTCATTCCTTTCTCACTGTTCAAATTTAATAATTGTAAAGCTTTTATGTAACATAATGAATGTTGTCGATATATTCGCTGTAAGATTCAAATAAACGAGAAAACTATAGACGTAAAGCAGATGATTTTTATGTTCAAGTGCGGCACAAACACTGATGACAAGACAGGGGAATAACACAAAGAAGAAGGAAAAGCAGAAAACTTGAACCTAAAATACCCGTATTGAGACCCATGCCGAACCGCACCTGTACGTGCAGAAGGCAACGAAAGTCGTGGTTCTTCGAGTTCTCACTTGCTGGTTTGAGCTAATCCTTATCACTCATTTTTACCATTCCAAGTATTAGGTTGTCCCAAAAGTTCGTGGACACTTTTTGAATCTCGTATCAGATTTTTCCGCAGCCATTTCGAGATCCAGTTATGTGGTCTATGGGAAGTGTGTGAGGTAAGCATTCCACAGCTTCTTCACCGTCCCTCGCAGTCGCTGTTCTCATATGAAAAACGGTAATTGAAATTCATCATTTTCGACACACTTCGCTATATGAATCTCTACCAAGCCACAACGTGGTTGGAGCCATAAGCGGCATTTCCCTTATTTAGATCTTGATGTTAGCTTCCACAGTACGGCTTTGGAATGGCTCAATTGCTTCCGCTTTAGTGACTTCTATCCGGGTGAAAAACTTCGTCCAAGGAGGCCACCTGCCTTGGATTTGGACCTACTGTGTTCCTTGATTAAAACCAATTCGTACGAATCAACTTGCTATCTAGTCCTTACACTTGACTGGTCCCAAAGCACAAATGAGAGAAGGCCTCGCTCTCCTTTAGAAAAGTTCTGAAGTTCGGTCAAAAAATTTTTCTCATGAGTTGACCAGTACTCCAAGGGGAGCACATGTGGGTACTGTCTACAACTTCTTCCCGCTTCCGCTGTACGGGCTGGTTGAACAGCACTGTAACTGGATATGGAGTGGGTGCCTCTAGGTGAATCACTCCTGGGAGCGCCAGCGGCTAGATCCCCCAGAAAGGGCAGAACCGATCGCGCAATCCTATCAATCCAGTAGGGCGGTGAGGCTGTGTATGTGGTGGGGTACCTTTCTCCGCTCTCGAAACGGAATTCCTTCCTTCCAACGCTATGGTAACCAGGGAGCCCTATTGTAATCAACTGCAAAGTGGGGTGGAAAATCTCTACCATTTGGTCCCAAAACCGAGCAATGTTTGCCTACTCCACCACAGCTCAGGGTCACACATTTGGAAAACGACACTGCTCGAGATCCCGAAGCTTAGCTGGGGAATTCCACCACAGTCTTCGTGTAGCCCGACTTAGCTCTTTCCGATCGCCCTCTAAACTAATCCCAGCATCCATCTTCTTGGTAAAAAAATACGATTTTTGATAGTACCTCAAAATGAGCCCAGCTGCCTTTCTGGGCACAGAACTAAGAGGCTTCTGGAAGCAGGGCAACCACACATTGCGTAGTGATTGGCAACAAGTTGCCAATGAAGGTGACATATATATAGTTGATCAAAATTGCTTCCCACTGGAATAAACTTAATTCGAAAAAAAGTTTGAAAGTGTCCACGAACTTTTGGGAAAAAGTAGCGGAACAACCGCAGCACCAGGATTCCCTTAGAAATGAAGGGCAGGCGTTGCCGTGGCTAATGGGCGGAGCCGTTGCCTCGTCGCGAGCGGGTCACGCTTTCCTCCTTGTTTGCTTGAGTATTAACACATTGACGACCGCGTGAGACACATTGAATGCACGCGTTGTAGGCCATGTGGGACAGCGTGCATACTATACAACTCACGATCAACAAATCCATATCTTTCAACAGTGCATGGTTTTTTAGTTAGTTTCTCTTAATCATTGTATAGTTCAGACCCTGGTGTACTCGTACTATGCGTAGTCCATGGAATAATTCAGTACACACTAGTTTAGCAAATACTTTTTGGGTAAAGATCACCATTTGCTCGGACTGATTTTGCTCTTCAACACTGGAATGGTTTGCTCTCCAACAGATTCCAACACTTAGCTGAGAAATGCTGATCGATACAATGTTGATAATGGTCAAAATTATAGGGTGAAGGATTCTGAACGCTATAGAGGGCACGACACCTTTTTTTTATGAAAACATTGGTTGCGGACGAATTTCTGGCATCTAGTGCAACGAGAGTTAGCCAGCCAGGTTTTTTCTATACTGAAGTATTAACTTACTTCATAACTGCGCTCTAATCCAGTTTTCCGATCCAATTTCCAAAAAAGCGCCTCGTGGGATCGTCTGAACTATGTGTGTACCGCGCTGGTTGCGTTCGAGAAAACGCGCGTGTCCCACGCGGCCAAAAAGTAAAAACGCGCATGTCGTCAACGTGTTAAAGATTGCATCCTTCATGCTTGCGGACAGGACTACCTGCCCAGAGAAGACAACGAAACAAACACAACAATAAAGCTGAGTGTGCTTTTAAGTCATTGGCAATCTTTATTGGAAAGCATTCCTGGAACATAGAATCAAGAACGAGTACAAGACGCTAACAGTGTCAAGTGTTCACTACAGTGGCATAAGCTAGCAAGAGAGTCGGCAAGCTAGGATTCAGATCGACGGGCATAGGAAATCGCCCTTCGATGCTCCAGGCAACACAATGCACACACCCAATTCCGCGTATAAGCCGTTATCCTGCAGAAATAATAAACGTTGCAATGGTCACACATCTCACCGTTTGGAAGAACAAAAGTGGTACCTTCTCTGCAAGTGCGCACCCGAATGCCGAATTCACTTAGGCATTTCACCAGTCACTTTATCGCGACAAGTAGCGCACTTGCCTATGGTTAGGCGTATGGCTGGCTGTGCCTTTAACCAGAGAAAGTGGTACGCTACTGCAACTGCGAACCCATCCATCCTATACATGGCACAGGCGAGGATCTACTGAAGTGGGGGTACGTTTGTTTGAGAAGGGAACGGTTACGAGACCGCGGTCTATTGTCATGATAGCCGGCTGTTTTCCCCGTCTGTGACGTCCTTGAACAGTTCCTCGCTCCATCCTAGGAGTGGAGAGTTGGGCAGTGGCAGACTTCGTGACGGCAGCGCTTCGGTCGCGCGTTCGACGCGATCGATGCGCATGCTTTCAACTGCATCGACGCGTGACCGAAGCGCTGCCGTCGCGAAGTCTGAACGCTGCCTTACGGCGATGGGACAAGAGGGGACGGTTCGCGTAGCAAAGCTATCCCTGCGCTGTGCGATCGCATCGTTTTGGCCTCAATCCGGTCTCCAGTCACAACAGTGGGTTATGCCTGTTTTTAATGGTGTGTCTCCAACAGAACAACTGCCCTCTACTGGAGAGTGACATAGTTATTCATAAAGAACGATTTGTATGTTTTTGTAAAAGATCACTTCAACATAAACAGCACCTTTTTATTTCCAGGCGAACGATAACGGCATAGCACTCGACAAAATCTATTATGAAAATCTCAAAACATTTAATCATACAAGTCATTTTCCTAGTACCAATAAACCATAATACAGTAGCAACATGAAAATTACTAACAAAATTATAATACCGACCTAGGCGAAAGTATCAGATCCACAACAAACAGACTGTTGTTGCATGACTCCAGAAAGACTTAACAAAGCGTAATTCGGCAAAACTCGTGAAATGAAAGCACATGCTTAAAATTTATAGCTATTCATATTTAACGTCATGAAAACACTTCGAAAGAAATGATATGCAATAATATATTTTATGATATTCTAGTATTTATCTACGTTGGAAGAGGGTACATATACGGTTGACGAGCAACTAGAATTTAATCTCTTCAATCGCGTCATTTTTCTGTTCCTGTCTGCGCCCTCTCGTCTACAAAGCGCTCAATGGCCACTGTGAGCGGGCACATTAACATTTTCAAGTACGATAAGAGGCGCAACCACCTTAGAGTTCCGTCCCAATCAATGAAGGCCATCTTCAGGATCGACAAATGCCCTTTTACACCGCTTGATACTTATGGGTAGATATATGGATATGCATGTTCAGGATGTCAAACTACCCCAGGGAACAAGTTTTCAGCCAATTTGGTAAACTAGAGCATTCTGGTGGCGGCGCCTGCAGCACGAGCGCCCGACGGTTTCGGGCCAGGTGGACGTGATATTCGTATTCAGGAGGTTAAACCACCCAGGAGGCAGGTTTTCAGCATTTGAGTACCTAAGACATTTGGGCGCCGGCGCCTATGGCGCGGCGCCAGGCGATTTCGGTCATGCGGATATGACATTCGTATACAGGAGATCGCACTAGTCCTGACAACAAACTCCAGCGAAATCTGGTGGCAAAAAAGTCGGTCAAAAACTGGCCTGATTTCGGGAGATTGGAGCAGGAACAGCTCAATAGTGCCCCATGAACTAAAGGATATGATAGGTTTGGCGGCGCCAGCGCAATTGAAGGGGTCCGCCTCACTAGGGGTTACTAGGGCGTTTGCTGCGACTCTGACCGTCTGCGTTCGTTATCTCGCCAAGGTACCCGTTCTTCTCAAGGTTTAGCCTTAAAAGAGCGCAGACGACCAGAGTTGTAGGGGCCTATGTCGATCTGAGGTCCCCTCCAGCTGCGTTGGCGCCGCTTTTTTATTACTTTGTATTACGAAACATTCTGCAATACACAAAAAAACATCAAGACTTATGACACAGAACGAGTAAACAAAACCCATCGATATGCACGAAGTGAAAACATGAAAATGACATAAATGCATAGACACGTACAAGATGGAATGAATAAAAGCTATGCACCCGAGTACGCAGGCACTCTAAACATCAGCGTATGAAGTATACACAGATCGCTGCGGATAAAGGGGCGTGTCAGGCAGTATGAGTGTGCCAAGGTGCAAACCCGTTCCTGCCAGTTGTTGAAGCGGG